ATCATCGCTTTCTCAAAATCACATAAAGTCATATTATAACATCGACTGAGATAAATAATAAAATGAAATATTAAAAACACGATGTATCTCGCTGCATTGCGCGAGTACGCTTCTAGTTTATATAAATATGGATGATATTGATTAGCACAATATTAGCAAGATTTAATTGAGAAATCCATTAAATTTTTTGAAAAAAAAAACCGCCACATTTTAAAAAATGTAGAATAATTTTGTTTAAAAAAATCGCCACTAATTATCCAATGAAACAGACCCAAACTGTTCAATGAAACAGAATAATTTCTAATGAAACATGTTCAAACTGTTCAATGAAACATGATCATATATGATTGCATCTATATCTATACTATTTTATTAAGCAAATTTATCAAAAGTCTTAAAGTCTTAAAATTTTAAATGACCAAGATACCCTTTTCATTTTTTCACTTTTTCACCTTTCCCTCCTCACATACACTCACCCCTCATATACATTTACCTCTCACATTCAACGGATTTTTTTTTAATTATAATTTTAAATTTACATTGTATATCCTTATAATTAGTTAATTAATTACTTTACGTCCTTTACTTTTAAATGTTTCATTTTAAACATTTATCAAATTAACATACATAATTGTATATCAAATAAAACATGTTTAAAAAATATATTTTTATTTTAACAAGTTCCACTATTATAATCGTCTCATTAATACCTTCGAAATGAATCCAATATTGAATAGTTTTTGATTTAATTATATTATTATATATTATATATACTGTGAAAAAATATTTTTAATGTTTACGATTTATACTTTTATAGTTATTTATTTATATATATATGCTATACATTTTGGGATTAAGCTGTCCAAATTGCACTGTATAATATGTTCTTGGGGTTTTTTTGAAATATATATACATGTATTAATTCAACCTTAATATGAGCTTCTGGACAAGAAAGAGGGTAAGCAGTTGAAATTTCATTCTAAAACTCATCTTTTTTGGTCTTTTCATAACTTATGATCTGTCAAATTTGTAGTTTTTTTTTTATTTGGTTTTGAGTGTTTATCTTAAAACTCAAGTTTTTTGGTTCTTTGCTCTTGGTGTAAATCGAACACATTTGTGGAGTCGTTTAAATATGTTGAATTTTAAATATATTGGATTTTAAACTGTCATACAATTTTTTTTCATCGATAGTCTGTAATTAGAACCATAACT